CCAGCATCTTATTAACAAATGTCTGGTCATCCAGATGACTCCACTCCTGGCCGGCAGCTAGTGTTAGACCTCTTAGCAGTAATACAGCTGCAGTTACGGCAAAGGTATAACAGAAACAGCCTTGTTTGCAAGTGAAACATTGCCTCATGACGAGAATGCCTGGATTGGGAGTCAGATGCTGTGGCTCACGCTGCTGGCTTGTATGCAACTCTAGGGAAAGCACTTAACCTCTCCGCACCTCTGTTGATCTGTCTGAGAACAATGCTGACTTAACCCACAGGAGGTTTTGGAGAGATAACTAATTTTTGGTAAAACACATTAAGATCCTTGGGTGGGAAAGGCTTTTGTATGTGCTGAGCTGGTTGCTGTGGGTGTCTGGCTCAAAGACAGGCTGGCTGGCTGTCGGGGGTGCAGGGAAACTCTGTAGTGGCTGCTGGAGTCAGAGTCTCTGTGTCAAAGTTGGACTAACTGCCAGTGGTTCACTGTGAATAGTCCCGATAGAGCCTGTCTCTTCTCTGCTGGTTTTCAGAGCTTCGTGCCAGTGTCTCAGTGACCTCCATACCCTTCACCTCCCTGTGCAAGGGAAGCTTTGAGCACCCAAACTCTGCCCTCCCCAGCAGCTGCCACCCTCCCCTTTCTGCTCTACCCCTGACTCACAAGAGACCAGATGGGGATTCATTGCTCACATCTGCTTCCTTCACCTGCCCTCATGGTTCAGTGTCACTAACTGAATCCTCTTTGCTCAAGTGTTGAGGCTTATCTTAGAAGAGGAACCTGGTCTGCTCTGCTTGCCCTGAATGGGATCTAGCAACTGTTCTCCCTCCCGCTTGGCTCGGGGAACTGCTTTGGACAGTGCTGGTGAATGAAACCAGCTGAACCTCTGGGGGTGGCTACCAGCAAGAGACTGAAACTTTGGGTCTTCCCCTTCCCGTTTCCAGGCCAGGATGTGAATGCTGTCTCGGCCAGACCTCGTGCCTGATTAATCTGCGTGTCCCGCCCAAGCCAGAGCACTTTGGGTCAGACCTGCTCCTCTTTTCTCTCTACCACAGTGGCATGTATCATCACTAGGCAGTGTTTAAGTGGCTGATGCGTCCCCCCCACCAGTGGGTTGCAGTCTGGGGCACTGCAGGTGTCCTGAGAGCCCTTGGCACTGCAGAACCTCCCTGCCCCTGCTCTGTGAGGTGGTGGACACTGGTGGAGTCTGGATCTCCAGGTCCTCTGTCTCCTGCAAGCAGCACATGCAGCTGGAGGGAAGTCCCCCCAACAAGTGGTGGTTTAGGCTCCAGCAAGAAAATGTTGTCTCCTTCCCCAGTGCTGGGGGAGGAGAGGTGAAGCTGGGGGATTGCCTTTTGTGGAGGCATAACGTCTTGCTGCTTCCTCATCGCCTGCCCCAGAGCATCCTCCTCTCGGATGTGTCCGTCACCCGGGGTGGGGAAGGGGATGTGACGGGTGTTCGGCGGTGGAACAGCCTGTCCTCGCTGGGGTGGAAGAGGCCCAAGGGCACGCGGAGAGGGTGGTTGAGACACTGACGTGCTGTTGCTACCATAGTCCTTGTGATCGACTCAGGAATTTCAAATATTTCCTCTCAGATAAAGGTGACTGGGGGAGGCTAGAAATATCTGGACGTGTCTGGGCAAGCCTGAGGTCCCAAACACCAGGCCAGAGAGGTTAGAATCGGTACTGGGAGTGCTGGGCTTCAGGTGCAGAGCGGCCGAGGCCTGGGGCCGTGTGGGAACTAAGCAAGCTGCCTTTCCCTAACCTTCAACCCACCCCCTGGATAGGGAGGGAGGACGCTCCTGCCTGTTTTCACACTCCCCCTGGTCTGGGATTGCCATTCCCAGGGGACACATCTGGGATCGCAGTTGTGCAGGGGCTGAGCTATCACAGCTCCTGGGAACGGTTTCCCTGAGGAAGGCCAAGGCACTCTCCTCCCAAATCTGCAGCCTGCAGCTGCTGCTCCATTCCCAGGGGAAGGAGAGGGTCTCATGTCCCCTCCCTGCCCGTGTGGGGCTCTTGTCTTGCTCTTCTCCGTCTGTAGCACCCGATAGCTCTCAGTTCACCATATGCCATTTATCTCTTGTTCAGCAAACACTTCCTTTTCTTAGAAGTAAGGGCTTCAAAACATGCTTCTTGGAACTGCCTTTCCCCAAGCTTGAGAGGGCTCGGCTGCCAGCCCTCCACGGCTCCCTGCCCTGGCTGTGGGGGCCCTTTCCTGGTGCCAGCCGTGCGGAGAGGCTGGGTGACTGCGTGGCCCCTTCCACCTCTGCAGCCTTCCTGGGAACTGTGGGGATGTCCCCTCCCATGGGTCAGGAGGAGCCCGCAGAGATGTGTGGGGCTCTTAGTGGGGCAGGCCTTACTGAATCTCTGAGCAACGTGGCTTTTTCTGGTGAATACATCACAAGGGCGCAGCCTCCTTCCTCTTGCTGAGCACTCCTGCAGCATTGGGTGCTGTGAGTGCTCGGCTGGGACGTGTGTCTGAGGGAAGGACCTTCCCTTGGGGGGCCAGGGCCCTGGTACAGATGTTGTAGGGGTGGTGGATGCGCTCCACAGCTGGCGTTTTCGGACAAGCCTGTGTCTTTCGGACAAGCCCCGGTTCCCCTGTGCCCTCTATCCCTGCCAGCCTGCTCTTGGTTTGCTGCTGCTTGCCGTGCTCTGTCACTGCTCCGCTGCTCATCACCACCTATCAGCAGAGGGATTTCCTGTGCTGTAATTAAAAATATCCCCTCCTTTGGTTTGGGCTCTCCTCCCGTCCCTCTCCTGCAGCGCATCACTGGCTGTTTCCGCAGCTGTCACCCTGAACGAGTGGCCGGGCAGAGGGGCTAGCAGCAGGCAGCAGCCCTCACCTTTCTCCCTGGGTGGCACCTGTGTGTGAGTTGCTGTCCTGCCCGTTCCTGCGGGGCCAGGATGCAATACAACACCTCCATGGAGCCTGCGCCAGCTGGCAGGCCCGGTGGGAAGCGAGCTGCCTTCTGCTGCTCTGTGTGAGTGGCGGGGGTCACGGGGATGGTTGTCACATCCCTGAAGAGGACTTTGAGTGAGGCAGCAGCGGTGCCCCAGGGTGAGTTAGCGAAGTCCCTGTTGTCCCAGCACCCTGGCCCTGGGGCTGCTGATACCTCTTCACAGCCAGGGAAGTCACAAGATGCTGGAGATGGTGTTCGATAGGAGGTAGAGAAGAGCTTTGGTGGGGCAGAGGCAGGTGCTGAAGTGCACATCTCACCTGGGTGATTGTTCAGGTACCTGATCCCCTGTTGGGGGGGAGGCCAGTGGCTGAGGAGAGGGACACAGCCTGGCTCCCTGGGAGCGAGCGTGCATGTCTATTGCACACCTTGCTGTGAAAAGCTGTGTGTGAGCTCGTTCGTGTGTCTGTGGCAAGGTGAGGCAATGCCCCGCAAGCTGTGACCATGCTGGGGCTGTTTTGGGGGAGCCAGGGGACTGGCACCATGTTTCCATGAGTGATGGAGAGGCACCTGCCTAAAAAGCATCTCGATCCCAGCCGTGATCCGGGCACCGAACCCCCCACAGGTCCTGTGGCAGTGGTTGCAGCTCATCACAGGCTGTGGGCAGGCATGGGAGGCAGCTTGCAGGCAGAGCTGCCAGACCCATGCAGGCAGGGATGCTGCCCCTGCCTCCGGGGAGACTGTGGTAAGGCGTGACACAAGCACAGCGTCAGCCGGGCTTATCTCTGCTTTCCCAGAGCAGCCGGGTTACTGGAACTGCATTCACTTATCAGGGAACAGGGGACCTTGCTGGGAAGACAGGCTTGAGGTGCAACAGCCTCAAGGCCCTGCTGATGCCGAGCTGCATGGCGCTCTGAGCTACTGGCGATCCCTGAGCCCAGAGCTCGCTGCTCCAGCTCCCTCTAGCCCCGGTGCTCCTGCTCAGCCCTGATAAACCTAGGAGCTGCTGGGGCGTAAAGTTCCCTGCTTCATGTACCCTGCCCATGGGCCCCTCCTTCCCTGCAGTGCGTGTGGCCCGAGGACCTGAGCACCTATCCTCACGGGGGTCCAAGGTCCCTGGGTACCCAGGAGAGCAGGAGGGGTTGTGTCATACCATGGGGGTGTTGCATGGGTGCAGGGTACAAATGTGCTCTCTGAGAGCCTGTTTTCGGGAGCAGTTCAGCTCTGGTGGTCTTCTCTCTTTCTCTCTGCCCTTCACCTCCCCCAGTCCAGGCCATGGCCATCTGTCCCCAGCCCTGTCACACACCTCCCTCAGAGGGAGAGGGGCTGTGGCTGTTCACCATGCAGTGGCTCTGTTGAAATTTGCCCAGCTCTTGCTGTTGCTGGAGGTGAAGGACTGGAGGCAGCCGGCTTGGACGAGCTGGGCCGGAGTGACTGCATTCCTGGCCAGGCCTCGTGCTTGGCCCGCTCTCCCGAAGCCCAGGGAAAGGCCGGAGTTTCACGATCCAGAGTGTCTGCCTTCGCCACAGGGGTTCACAAAATCCAGATTGTGCTGCAGAGTAACCTGCGATGGCCAGGACACGGGAGTGCTTGTCTTGCTGGGATGCGGCAGTGGGGAGAGGAAGGTGAGAGGCTCTGCTTTGGATGCAAAAGCAACAGGGGGATGCGCGTTGTGGACTCCTGCCACAACCGTGGGCACCAACCCTGCTGCTGCTCCCCCAGGCCTCGGCCGTGGAATAAAGCCCAGCATTTTCCTGCTGCAATGATTTCTATCACACTTTGATGCTAATTTTAGAGAGCCTAGAGCACGTGATGCATCTCCTGCCCTTCCCGCGTGGTACTCTCCTTGCAAATCCTTTCTGGCATCCACTTCTCTCATGACTGGTCCTGTGCTTTCCCCATCGCCCTCTGTGCGTGATTCAGAGCAAGGAAGCACAAGGCATCTGTCATCCGCCCTGTCCCCACCACCGCTTTCCTGCCGGCAGGAGCCCGGCAGCCTTCCTGCCCCTTCCCACAGAGGAGGAAGGAGCCCTAGAAAGCGGCAGAGATGGTCTCTGTGCTCCGCTCCTACCCCCTCTGCTCACAGCTCCTCTCTTCCCACAGGAGCGGTTTGTGGACCTCTACGGGAACGATGCTGCTGCCGAGGTGAGGAAGGGCCAGGAGACCTTCAACAAATGGCTCCTGACCGGGGCGACGGTGGCAGGAGTGCTTCTGCTGGGATCCCTGCTGAGCCGCAAGTGACCCGCCGCCGAATCCCCCCGTCGCCAGGACGGCTGCGCCTTCACCGCCACATCCACTACACTCCGCTCCTGAGCACCGTCACCGGCGCGGGGGGACAGCCCCTCCGCCTCCCGGGCGAGCGCCCCACTCCACGGAGCTTTCTCCCTCGTGCCGCCAGCTCCTTTTATTGTAGCCCGTCTTATTTACCGTTCCGTTGTGTTTTAAAGGCGCTGAGACCAATGCAGCACTTCAGCCAACAGCTCCCAGCGCTGGGGAGATCCAGGCAGCCGGGAGGAGTACCGGCTAGAAGGTGTCCCAGCCCTGCAGGGTCCTCTAGATCACTTTGAAGAGAATAAACAGACTTATTTTTGCATGTGTGAGTGCGTGCGTGTGTGTAGATGTGTCACTAATATAAGGTTCCCCAGCCAGAGCAAGGGTCGAGGCTCCGTACCCCCATCTCCATCACGCTCAGGCCCCGGGAAGAGGTAGGCTGCCAAACGGGACGGAGCTTCCCTGCAGCATCCCTATGCCTTCCCCGCTTCATCTGGGAAGAGCTCATCCCTGCAGGGGTCGGGGGGGAGCCGGGAGGAAGAGGCAGAGGCTGGTGGTGTGGTGATGAGCTCTGCCCTCACATCAGTCCCTGAGCCTCTTTCTCCCTGGACAGCAGCTGCTGGGAGCTGAGGCCGGTCTCAGGTGAGGGTGGTGTGTCAGGCCCAGGGCTGTGCCTGCTTTGAAGGGTTCCTCCTCCTCTTCCTCCTCCTCCCTCTGAATGTAGATTGCTGTGGGGCAGTGTGCATCCCTCCCCACACCTGCTCCTCCGCGCTGGCAAAGGAGGAAGGCAGGCGAGGGGGGAGAGCACTTTCCCCGGCCCTGCCCTGGAACAAGGGGCTCTGCAGAGAGCTGGGGCTGCAGTGTCCAGCAAGTGCAGGAATACAGAGCCGGGGGGGTGGAAGCGGTGTCGAGGCGGGGGTGCGATGCTCCTGCCCCTCATGGGGGTGGCAGCAGGAGAAGGCAGAGCCCTGGGAGCAATCCCACCGCAGCCGATCCATGGGGCCAGTGGCAGAGCGAGCCCAGGGGAGGTGGGAGCAAGGGCTGGCACCGGCTGAGAGCCGTCCCCGCCGCCGGAAAGCTTCTTTGGGGACAGTGGGAGCCGCTGGCTTCTCCTGTGCTGTCCTGGCTGCTGCCAGTCCCCATAGCGCAGGCAGATCCCTGTCCCCATGGCGTGGCTGTGACGGGTGCATGCAGTGGCAGAGGTGCCTGGCTCCCCCCCACCCCTCTTCCCATGCGGCTCCTGCTGCCGCCAGGGCAGGGAACCTCCCGGGCTTTGACCTGAAATTAGCTTCGAAAATAACCCCTCATCCTTCGGAGACGACCACCGGCAGACCCAGCTGTCCATGCGGGCTTGTCTGTGTACATACCGCCCGCGCTCTGCTGTACATATCCGAGTAGTTTTTAATTCATTTGTGAATACTCTTAATGCTATTTTTGTTATCTTGTCTGTCCATATTTATGTGTGGGGCCGTGCTCCCTGCAAAGGCCAAGGTGGGATAGAGGCGGGGAGGGGGGAACCGGAAGGTTTGGGGGGGGGGGTCCCACCTGGCCACCGAGCACGGACTTGCGCTCCCAGTGTAGGATCCGCTCCCGGCACCCATGGTGCTGAGAGCAGATCCTACACGGGGAGCACGAGGATTAGCATTAGCCCATTGAACGCTTCGGTTTGCAGGTGGAGGTGATTCCACTAATAAACTCTTGTCATTGGAGCTGCTGATGGTGCTGTGGTTTTTGCGAACGCCGGGGGCTTGGGGGGGGATTCGGGCAGCCTTGGGCAGGAGCTGCCTTCAGCCAGATGGATGGAGGGGGAACAGGTCGTTTCCCTGGCCAGGGAAGGGTTGGGGTGCTCCAAGGGGTGTGGGATTTGCTGTTTTCCCAAGGGAATGGTGCTGGGCAGGGTTGGCGTGACATGGTGCTGCCTGCTTGGGCACGGTGCTGCCCGTCTCCATCACAGGCAGCATCGGGACAGACCCCTGCCCATCCCTTCTACTTTTCACCAGGGCCAGGCTCAAATCCTCGTCCTGGGTCCTCGTTACGGGGCTGTGGGGGCAGGACAGGCCAAGCCAGGCTCTTAGCTGGGCTTGGGATGGGGGGGGGAGCTGGTTTTGGGACTGCGGGCTCAGCATCAGTGGGGAGCCAGGCAGGGGGAGCATCCACAGCCATGTTGGGGTGAGGAGGGCAGGGGGCTTGCAGCCCCACATCCCGGTGGGTGCCTCGCTGGGTCCTACAGCACACACACACCCCCCGCCATGTTCCTGGGGCTGCCTCTCGCCCCCCGGCTCTGCCACCCCTGAGCTGGGGAAAGGGGAAACCTTCCAGCACCACCTGCCCTTTGCGAGGTGGGGGGGGGATCATTTCGGCACAGTCTGAACCCCCAAAACACTGGGCCTTGTTCGGGACGCTCCCTGCTTGCGGCTCAACCTTCCCCACGACCCTCCGGGGTGCGCAGGGGACGACCGGAGCGTGGGAGGGCAGCGGCCGGGGCCCGTGAGGAGCCGTGGGGACGCGGTGGGAGGCCGCGGACACGAGCACCATCCCGTGGGCGATGGGGGAAGCTGCCGTGGAGCTGCAGCGGCTGCTGCTGGGGGGGGGCAAAGGGCAACCGCATGGCCAGCACACCCGCGAGGGTTGCGGGTGACCCCCTCGGTCCCCCAGAGCCACCAGCCCCGTCCCCAGCTCCCGCTACGCCTCCCACGCAGCCTCGATCCCCCCCGGTGATGCTACAGGGATCTCGGCGCAGGGGGCCCTCGCCCCGGAGCTCCACACAGCCGGGGGGACCTGGCGATGCTCCAGCACGGAGCTGGGAATGGGACCCTGCCCGGGGGACCCGGCTGCGGGGGGTCCCCAAGACAACACACCCCACACCAGGCTGAACCACGCTCCCAGCTTTAATCCCTGCTGAGGAGCCCCTCCCGGCAGGTTGGGGTCAGTGGGTCCCATGGCCGGGCAGCTGTGCCGGCCACGGGGCCGCGGTGGCATCGGCTCCCCCCTGGCTGCCAGCGGGATGGGGATGGGGACACGGCTCGTGGGCGGCTGGCAGGTTCCCACGCAGTGACTGGTCTCATGGCTTGTACTGCAGGTCTGTGGTGATGAGCATGAAGCCCTGCGGGGAGTTGGGGTGAGATGGGGGGGGACACACATGAGGGACACGAGGGGCAGCGGGGTGAGGGGACGGTGGCAGCACCCACCTCCTGCAGCGAGAGCCGGGTGTTGAGCAGGCTGAGGCCGTGCAGGGTGGGCAGGGGGACACCAGCCTGGAGCCGCTCTGTGGGGAGAGAAGAGCCATGAGTGGGGGGCAGCCCCAGGGCAGCCGGGGGACGGGGACAGGATGGGGACAGCACTCACTGTTTGCCCAGGGCACCCCGAAAAGCCACAGCCCGAACTTCAGCAGGGTCTCCAGTCTCTTCACCTGTGGGACAGGCAGCCCCCTGAGCCTGGCACGGGGCAGGCAGAGGGGGCTGCAGCGCAGGCAGGGTTCAGCTCCCTTACCAGGACTGCACCTGCTGTCTGTGCAAGTGCTGGCCTTGCACGGGGTCCCAGCACCCGCAGGCCCCTCCCAGACCCCCAGACCCTGCTCCCAGGGTGATGCAGAGCACAAGGTTCCCCTCGGATACCCCATCATGCCCCAGCACAGCAGCTCACCTCCACCGGGCCCACGTGCGACGTCACCTGTGACACGCTGAGCCTGGAGGACGAGAGCAGGGTGAGAGCCAGGCACAGGGATGAGGACTGTCCCATCCCAGGGCAGGAATGGACTGAGCTCCATGGCAAGGCTGGGAGCCCGACAGAGAAGGTCCAGCTGAGGACCTAACCAGGGTACCAGTGCCAGGGCAGCAGGCATGGATGAGAGCTGGGGGCAGGAGGGGTCTGAGCAGGCAATAAGGGACATGGGGAGGCAAATGGCCAAAGGTGGAGAATGGGGGGAGCTTCCCGGGTACACCCCAGGGGAGGCCAGACCCAGCACGGGGCTGGGGACTCACTCCTTCAGGCTCACGGTGCCTCCAAGCCTGTTCCTGGTGATGGTCGGCTTCCCCGTCACGTTGGCATCCTGCAGCAAGAAGAGATGTTGGAAAGCCCACAGCAGTGCCTGCAACCCTGCATCACACAGCATCGTCCCGGCATTACCCCGGCATTACCCCAGCATTACCCCAGCATCGCCCAGCATCATCCTGGCATTACCCCAGCATCGCCCAGCATTACCCCAGTATTGCCCCGCATCACCCGGCATTATCCAGCATTGTCCCAACCAGGAGCACAGGCAGATCAGCCCCAGCTAAGCCCTTTGGGGCCAGGCCCTGGATCCCCGTGCCATGGCAGCACCAGCCACTCACGATGTTCAGCAGAAAAGCAGGGACACGGGTGGCATTTGGCAGCACCACGAAGGCTTCGGCAGAGCCGAAGAAGGCACCGTGCAGGGCATCGGGGTGGCAGGAGAGCAGGGGCTGCTGGCGAGCCGAGAGGTGCAGCTCCATGGGGTGGTCCGGGTAGCGCTGCTGCAGCTGGGAGAGACCAGGGCTGAGCTGGCACGGAGCCACACTGGCACCGCTGGCACCATGGGCACCAGCCCGGGCTCCCAGCAGGTCCCCACCACTGCCCAGTGTGCCCCATCACTGCCCTGCCCTGAGCTGGGTGCAGACAGGGTGGGCAATGCATCGTGTCCTGCCCATGGTCCACCTGCCCACGTCCTGTCCTGCCTGTGTCCCATCCCGACTGCATCCCATCCTGCCCATCATGCCTGCGTCCCATCCTGTGTCCCACCTCTTCTGCAGCCCATCCCCTGCCCTGTCCCTCCTGCACCCTGTCCCGCCATGTCCCGTCCCATGTCCCATCCCGTCTGCATACTGTCCTACCCCATGTCCCACCTGCTCCCCCTTCTCCCCATGTCCCATCCCACCCGCACCCACCTGCGGGGAGAAGACCCCCATGCTCTTGGTCCTCAGCTGGAGCGGGAACCGCCGTGGGAGCTGGAAGGCAGCAGAGGGGTCGGGGTGCTGGGGCCACAAGGCACGGGCAGGCACGGGGACACCCCGGCGGGACCCCGGTGGAGGCAGCTCTGCCCCACAGCCGTGGCCGGAGCCGTCCCTACCATGTCGCTGGAGATGTTCTTGCGCAGGACCCCAGCCGTGAAGTACGTGAAGGCGGCTGAGTTGGCAACGAACTCGGTGACAGCCAGCAGCAGCATGGGCTCCTGTGCTGTGGGCAGCGCTGTGGGCAGCGCTGTGGGCAGAGCGGCAGGCAACGCCGCGGGCACGGCTGAGGAAGGTCTCTGCTGGGACTTGCCCACTCTGAAGAACTCCCCCTGCACAGACAGACGGACGGATGGACGCGAGGCTCAGCCCGGCTCCCCCGCGCCCCATTCCTGGAGCCGGCCCAGGGATGCCAGGGTTGACATTACCTTGAGGGCGATGTCCCCGTGCTCTGCCGTGATGGCCGGCTGCCCCACCAGGGAGTGGTCGATGGCGGCGAAGGCGTCCAGCTGGGTGGATGCTGCAGGGACATAGGGATGGTTGGGGGAGCCAGAGACCACCAGCCCCCTCCCACAGCCCCGGCTCTGCCGACACGGGTGCTGACGGGATCCGGCCCCACAGTGGGGTCCTGCTGACCCTGCTGGGCACCAGCCCCCTGCACAGCCGCCCCCAGACCACCCTGCCCAGCCCCGGCCCCAGTCCCTGGGGTCCCCTCACCCACTTTTCATGTCCTTCAGGGCAGCCTCCAGCCTGCTGACACCCTTGTGGAGCTCGAGGCAGAGCTAGAAGCAGAGCAGGGCATCAGTGAGCCCACAGATGGGGGTCCCCAAGCCACTCACTGGGCCTGCCATGGGAAGGGATGGGGACACCAACACCCCACAGCACAGGGGCCGAGCACTCACCCGCTTGTTCAGCTCCTGCCTCAGGGCTTTCTGGACCAGCAGTGCCAGCGGGTTGTAGAGCCAGCTGTGGGGCAGAGCAGGGTGCTCAGATCACCCTGGGGTGCCCCAGCCTCCCCCAGACCAACATCCTGGCCAGGGACACCAGGGAGTCCCTGCATGCCAGGGACAAGAGGGAAGCGGGGGTCCCGGCATCACCTGTGTCCGTAGTGAAACTCCACATGCAGGTCGGTGCCGCGGGCATCACAGCCTGCGCTCCACACCGTGGGGCGGCCGCTGCCGTCCACGCTCACCCCCAGCACTGCCACCATGGCCAGGTCGTGCACGCGGAGCTCGACAGAGCCCTTGTCCTGGCTGGGGACAGAGCAGGTGAGCACGGGGACAGCAGTGGCCCCGAGCCACCCAGGTACCCATCCCTGTGCCCTGTGCACGTAAGGACTCACATGGTGCCCAGCTGAGCTCCCCAGTCAGCGCTGAGATGGATGCGGGCACGCTGCACCATCAGCCTCACCCCCACGTCCTCGGCAAAGTCCACAGTGGAGTTGTTCATCTGCAGCTCGTGGATGCGGATCCTGCACGACACAGGCAGCCTGGGCTCACGGCTGCTCCCAGGGCACAGCCGGGATGGGAATGGGGACAAGGACCGGGACCCCGTGGGTGGCTCTTACCGGGGCACGGCGTAGGTGAGTGTCCCCAGGAGTGGGCTGTAGTAGGAGCCCCTCAGGTTCAGCTCATGCTCCTTCTGCAGCAGCACCTGGAGCAGCTCCAGCCCAATCCGCTGACCTGGGGCAGAGCAGAAATTTGGGGGACAGTGCCAGGGAAGGGGCTGTGGTGCCAGTGGGGCGAGCAGTCGGGTCCAGGACACCCCTCCATCCCCCATCCCAGGTGGTCTGGGCATGGTCCCCTTCATCCCCTGCCCAGTTTCCCCAAGGGTGGTCAGGGGCACGAGACTCACCAAATTCCAGCGCCTTCCGGGTCAGCTGGGCCTTGATGCCAGGGTTGGTGCCAGTGGCAGGCACGCAGGCTGTCAGCAAGAGCAGGAGGCAGAGCCACGCCGACCCTAGTATGCCTTGGGGATGGTGCTGGGACCTGGAGGCTGAAGCAGAGGACATGGCTATGGGATGTCCAGTCGCTGCGGAGACCCCGTCCCTGTGCACCAGCCCAGCCAGGACTTATATCGGGGACAGAGAGCCTGGGGTGACATCAGCCTCCTGCGCATATGCGGAGCCCACTGCAGCGCTCTGGCCACTGAAAGCCCAGCCTTGCCCAATACATGACTCAAAGGGGAAGCCGGGTCTCCCGTTGTTCCCCACTTGCGCCTGTTGTGGGAACAGAGGAAGGCAGGGTCCCACGCCGTGTCGCTGCCAGCCCCCCACCCTGGGGAGGTGTGGGAGCTGGGGTTACCAGCCATGGGGGCATGTGGTTGGCATGTGGGGACACGCAGAGACCCAGCTGGGCCAGGGTCCCAAGGGGCTTTGGCTATGCCCAGCCTGGGAGTGATGAGGAGCAGGGGGATGTGGCGAGTTGGTCCTGGGGCAGGCGGGCTGCGCTGGGGGGACGGGGCTCGATCTGCTTGCACTGGGGAGCAGGAGCCGTTCCCACTTTGGGGAGCGTTCTGAGGACCCTGTGTAGGGGCACCCGAACCCCAGTCGGGGGCCAGGGTGGCCGGGGCATGGTGGCAGCCCCAAGGGCCGCGGCATGACCAGAGGGTCAGGACAGTCAGAGCGAGAGCAGAACTGTGCAATCCCCTCCAAAAAGCCCTGGCCACAGGGGAAGAGCTGCCCATGCTCCCAAACCCGTCCCCCAGCCAGGGTGAGCTGGGAGAAGCGTGGCTCAGACGGGTGTAGGTCACTGGATGGTGCCATGGGCTATGGCTGCCAGGGGTCCAGCTGCCTGCCTGGATCCAGCCAGGGGACAGCAGCAGGGACCCAGGGATCCCTCCAGGGCTCCATCCCAGCACCATGCAGGGATGTAGGTCCCATGGCTGACCTCACCGGACGGACCACAGCGCCAGATAACGCACCTTAAGGTCCCTTCAAGAGCAGCTGCCCACTTGCGTGGGACCCCCCCAGTGCCACCAACCACGGCTGCAGCGATGGCCACAGCCCCTGGCAGCGTCCCAAAGGCCAGCGCTGTCCTTGGCCCCCAACCCCACGTCCACCACAGCCCCTCCATCCCCAGCTGCCCCCGCCCTGCACCAAGCCTCACCGCGGCCGGCGGTTGTGGTACCCCACACCGTGGGGGCCACAGGTCCCGCTGTGGGTCCCAGCTCCGCCATGTCCCCAGGGCCGTGCATGGCAGCGAGCAGCAGTGACCGACTCTGATGCCGATGTCCATCCCGGGGTGGCTGGGCTGGTTGGACCAGAACGTCACCCAGTTCCTTGGTCCCTAATCCCTTCCGGGATGAATCAGGTCCCATGAAAACAATGAGAGATGGGTTGGGGCGCAGGTGCCCACAGGGCTGGGCCCTCCCTGGGGCTCTCCTGTGTATCCTGGTGCAGCCGCATCCTGCATCCTGGTACGTGGCAGGCAGCTCAGCCCTGCCAACCCCGCTCCGAGCATCAGCCAGCTCCTTGCAGCCCCTTCCCCTACTCTCTGGCTATTCTGGCCATGCCAGGGCCCCTGTCCTGGCAGTCCTGTGGCAGTGCCACACCGTGTCCCCGTGCCCCAAGCGGGGGATGATGGCCGAGGCTGCATCGTAAGGGCTCAGCCGTGGGGCACACAGGGCTTGGGCAGGGATGTGGGGGGACACGTGGGCACGCACAGAGCCCCTCTCCCTGTAGCTCCAGCTGGAGCTTCCATATGTGCCAGTAACGAACGGGCAAGGACAGCACCGGGGAGCAGAGCACAGATGCAACCGGTGCACTGTGGGGTGGGGAAGAGCCCCAGGACCCTCCACAGAGGGTCCCTGGGCCCCAGCAGAGCCCCCAGGCCCCGGTTCTCCCGGCCCCAGGACCCTCCGGGAGGGTAGCCAGGGCCAGGCCATGCAGTGCGAGCGGGCACCGGGAGAGGGACCCACTGCCTCGGCACCGGCAGCTCCGGAATAGCTGCCACAGCGATGGAGGGGTCCCAGGGGCGATGGAGGGGACACCAGTGGGGATGATAGAGGGGACCTGGAAGTTGATGGCGGGGTCACTAGGGGGATGATGCAAGGGACACTGGGGAGCTGATGAAGGGGACCCATCTGATGATGGGACACCAGGGCTGATGGACAGGTTCATCCACAGGGACACGGAGCCCACAGTCCCCCCTACATGTCCCCCGCTGCTGTGTCACAGCCAGGACAAGGTTGGCCAGGCCAGGCAGTGTCCTGGTTCCCCAAATCACCTGCCCCTGCTCACCCCCCTGCCCGGGGATCTGCCAGGCTGGGGAAACCCGAGTGGGCACATATGGGCATGGACACACACATACACACAGAGCTGTGACCATGCCCGTGAAGGTGCAAACACACAAATGCTCATGCAGAGGTGCACACATGCACACACCTGCAGCCAGGGCTGGTCAACCCCTTCCAGCCCCAGAGACCCCCAGCTGCAGGACCCTGGGGGGCAGCAAGGGCCCTGCCAGGGCAGCCCCAAGCTGGCTTCCTGTGCCCAAGGGTGGCTGGGGCAGCAGAAGCCCCCCCCAGGCACCCCAATTTGCCCCCACCAAGCCCATAGGAAGGTCCATATACATCTATTGCAGAAGGGAGCGCAGCCCCCGAGGTGTTTGTGAGTCATGGGGCAGCTCAGGCCAGCACAGCTGCCTGGGGCACCCCCAGCCCATGGGGTTGCCCAACCCCTGTTGCAATTTCCTTCTCCCGAAAAGCTTGTCCAGCCCCAGCCCCGCTGGCAGGGGTTGCACGAGGGCAAGCCGGAACCATAGGGGCAGCACCGCAGCGAGCAGCACCCCAGGACTCGCACCCACTTTCCCTCAGGACAGCGCAACGGGACCATCCCCTGCAGCATCACCCTCCCACAGCCTCACACCCTGCAGCCACCTGCGCCCCGGTCTCAGCCCTGACCCCACTGAGAAACGGGGCGAGGGCCAGTCCACACTGCTGCCCAGGGAGACTGGGATCCCACACTCCTCGCCTGGGTGCAGAGCCCCACACCTGGCTCCCAGCACTGTCCCCTCTGTGTCATCATCCCATCGAGGTGCCTGCCCAGGGGAGACATGTCCCAGTGCTGCTGCATCTTCCCACCGCAGAAACCGGGGTGCAAACCATCTTCCCTTGTGTGCCTGCCCCTGACACCCCATGTCTGAGGCTGGGGAGTGAGAGGGGGGAGCAGGACATGGACCCCACAGGAGCCACTGGACCCTGGGAGGGGTTCCGTGGGGGCACAGTGCTGGGATAGGGACGGGGCACCCGCAGACACCTGGGTCCCACCAAAGCAGCACACTGGGAGGAACTGGAACCAGCCCGTGGGAGACCCCCTCCCCAGCACCACCACAGGGGCCCAGCCCCAGTACCCCACAGCACACCCGCCCAACCCATACTGGTCCGGATGGGCTCCCCCCAGTTTCATGCTCCCTGGGGGAATGGCCCCGGGGCCCAGCCCTCCCCGGGGAGGGGGGATAGGAAGCAGAGGCATGCCTGGTCATCAGGGCTTGTTTAATAACAAAACTCCAGCTATTGTAGAACAATATTCTCCAGTATCATTGTAATATACAATACGGGGAATGCTCTCAGCAATCTGAGAAGGATACGTCCCGCGGCCGCCGGGCAGCACCCCCGGCCCAGGCTGCGGGGGGACCCCCCGGGGGCAGCCCCGCCAGGGGAGGGGGCCGCGGCTGCCGGTCCCCGCCGTGCCGCGGGGGTCCCGGGATGCAGGCGAGCGACGGCGCTGGGGGCCGGGGTCCCGGGGGTGTCCGTGACGGGTCCGGAGCGGTCTCAGCGGCAGAGGATCCGGTCGGCAGCGGGCATGCACGGAGCCTGCGGGAACGGGGAGGGGGGCGAAGCGGCCGGTCAGTGCTGGTCAGGGGGGTCCCGGGGAGGGAAGAGCGGCGGGAGGAAGGGGCGCCCCCACCCCCCCGCCCCGGGAAGGAGACAGCGCGGTGCGGAGATGGGGAGGGGGGGGGGCCGGGGAACCCGGCTG